TTGCGGAAAGAAAAAAAGATAATCCCTATCTACCGACCCTAATTTTTTGCAGGGCTGAAACAGGAAACACAACTTTATTTTCCCAAGGCCCAAGCAGGTGTTTACACTCAAGTACGATTCAGACTTCTAAGAATAAAAGTGGTGTTTCCGGTTTTTCGACCGATACTAGCAAAATCCGGTCGACCCTAGCCTTTTTAGGTGTTTAGGTGGAAGTGGGTGACCGCTGTCAGGGCCATACAATTTTTGATCTGACATTTGAATTTCAAACCCTGTGAACCGTTACTTAACGGATTTTCAGAAACAATTTGTACTGAGTAAATCGAGTGAAATATTAGTCCCTTTCCCAAAAGCAAACGGAGGATTGGGGCCTTAATTTTACATTGTTAAAACGTTACAGTATTTTTTTATCATTTCAGTGGAAATCTAAAAAGAAAAAAATGAAACCTTACCTACTTACCCCATTTTTTCAGGGCTAAAATCGGGAACACAACATCATTTTACCTGGGCCTAAGTCTGATTTGTTTGCAGTGTTGATACCTTAAAGGCAAGACTGGACAAATACATGGACATCTACCCAGCAGCGTACAACTAGGGCCATAGTAAGTAAATTTTATGGATGACATCGTCCGCAGACTCCAAATCTAATGCGAGCGGGTGAAAAAAAAGGCAGACCAAAATAAAAAAAAAGATCCTACATTTTAAAATTTTGACTCAATCATTGTACAAATGGTTTTGATTCAGCGGGAACATCACAATATACATAGCCAGCATCACATATCACTGCATCAAAGTAAGAAACAAAACATTAGAGCCTTTTCTTGTCTCCTCTCTTTATAGTTATCTGCTATCCACCTTTCGGTATGACAACAGACATCTTTGCCCATTTTCTGCATGTTGACCACTGTCAGAAGGCAACAAAATTCCTTTTTTTTTAAAAATCAGGCGAAAATCAATGCGCGCGCTGATGTCATCCATAAAAATTACTTGCTGTGGCCTAAGGGCCCCAGTGACCAACGACTTTCATCAACAGAGAAGCTGGCAAACTGGAATTTTACAATTCCTTCCGGGCCTAAGATTCTACTCTATTTTATAGCTCCTATAGATCTACCTCATAACTCAACATAGCTAGATAGTCTTGGTACACAGACATCGTGACTTCTCTCCGATGTGTAATGCTCAATTTCACTACTTCAGTCGACGATGTAAAGGAAACATACACAGGTGTTTGTATACGATATTTCTATGTCCGACTTGTCACCAACAGCTCTTATAGATCCACGTAATAACTCAGGCCACAAAAATTTAATTTCTTGGTTAACGGATTCGCCCGCTTCGTTTTTTCTGATTTGCAAAAAAAAAAATTCAGAATCAACTGCAAAATGCTCAAATTTTGCCCTGAACAGTTGAAAACAGTCATTTTCTTCCTAGTTGTTACAGTTATTCCATCTTTCAATGCAGTAATGTAATTAAAAGTTCAAAATTATTCATTGTTTAAATTTTGAACCAGCTTGGCGTGTTGACTTCATGGCTCCTACTGTACCATTTTGGGCCATAATAGGATGCCTAAGCCTGTTTTTATTTTTTCGCCCGCCCGCTCCATTATTTTCTAGAAACATCCGTTAACCAAGAAATTACATTGGTGTGGCCTCAGAACGGCTAGATAGTCTTCATATTACAGTTTCTCTTCACTGCTTCAGTCAGTTTGTTTAAAGGCACCCAAACCTGATTTCAGGTCAATAAAACTGGATTTTCAAAGTCAGCTTTCCGGTCATTTTTTAAGTGTAGTAGCCTCCGTAGCAGGCTTATAGAACTGGGGGTTTGGTGGTCTTCGGCTGTTTTCTGATTAGCCCAGTTCTAAAAACGGGGGTAATCCAGCCAGGCCGGCTATGTTGTCTATATGCAATCAGAAAATAGCACATAAAAGCTCCCAAAGACCATGAAGACCCCCCAAACCCCCAGTTTTTGGCATGCTATGGAGGCTATAAGTATAGTAAGTTGAATCAACCCTATCCCATGGCATACTGATTTCTATGAGGCAAAAATACGATGTCGCTGACGGAAAATGATTGCTTGTTTCCTACCGTTGGCTGGTTCTAGGTACTTACTGGCGGCACGATTTTTTTGTTTCAAAAGCGTTTTGTTTCAAACGCTTCAAGTATGAAATGGTGACGAAAATGTCCTAAGAAATGGCAGTAAATGTCAATATCAGACAGATTTCCTCTTTCAGAATATCGTATATCGTTTGTTTGGCTGACCTGAAATTGCATTAGATGCATCCAGCGCAGTTTTTAAGACTTGGAAACCCGATTTTTCAAAGTCAATATTCTAGTCTCTTCTCTACATACTGAGTTAAACCACACTATCCCAATGCATATTGACCCTCATGGAGCAAAAACACTAAAAATTCTGATTGAAAATGGTTACTTGAAGGGCCATGGGCTGATTTTTAGGGTACCACCCAGAAAATAAAGGACTCATCTTGGGGGTTGTTTCTCCAGTTTTAAGTACCCAAAGTATGAAATACTGATTGAAATGTGCTAATGTGAAGCAGTATGTGTCAATATCACAAAGATCGCCTTATTCAGAATATTTCCAGTTTTGCTGCCCTGAAATTGCATTGGATGCCTTTTAAGCTAAGGCCCACTTTACCCGAGCAATCGACCGAATTTGGATTTGTTGGTGTGACCCTTCATTTTCATAATTTGAATATATGACACACCAAGATTTAAAAGACAACAGAACACATAAACCATGTACAAAAACAAAACATTCTCAGTATGAAATATGTAAAATTTGTGATCGCTTAGCAAGCGGTCGCAGACTCAAGTAAAAATAGGTCTAAAAAGTGATGCTTACTTACCATATAGCGTGTAGAACCTGGCTGTAGTGCCCAGCTTGAATCATCTGTACGTGAACAGTATGAGCGGGTTTTATATCTGTAGTTGCACCAGTGACGTAGAAGCTATCCACCGCCCTCTACCAGCAGTTACAACCCCATAGGAGCTCGGTGATTCCCCGTAGCGAGTTCTAGAAACATCAAGCGGCTGGCTAGTATTCACCTCCGCAAAGCTCCGTCGTCAATAGTTGCATTGTAGCTGTCTCGTCTCGCGAAAGGTCACCAGCCCTGCAGACAAAGATAGCACATTATTCACACACGATGATTCTTACGTGCGAAACAATAAAATGTTTGCCCACATTTAGCGATTCAATTCATCCCATACGCGTCTCTGACAGTTGTACAATGTAAAAACGTTTTTGGATGGCACAAGGCGACGTGTATTTTTAGAAATGATTTCATGGGTGTAATTCAGTCGGTTGGACAGATGTGTAAATATTCAGCATTGTTTGATTGACGTTACTTTTGTTAATCCCAATTAGCCTACATGTTTGGTGAGCATACATGTGACTTTGTGAAGTGTGGCTAGAAATTTATACATTGAAGTTGGAAAATCAAATAAACGTTACTACAACAAAGGGTCTAAATGCAGGACATAATGGTTTGGGGTCATAAGGCCAAGGAAAATGTTGTGTTTCCTGTTTCAGTCCTGACAAGAAGTAGTGTTGGTAGGTAGGGATTCTCTTCTCCTTTTTTCTTCTTATTAGTGTTATCGGAGTACAGATGATGCGTTTTTATGTTTACCGAAGGAAAACATATTGTTTTTGCTACGTTTCCTCTTCTTCTTCTCCAAACACTAACCTCTGACCTGGCCAATGACCTGATTTGTTGACGTCTCTCACCATGGTAACTGGTGTCGGGTTACATAATGTTGCAATTTTATAGTAGGAGAGATTTCTACTCTTGTCTGACCATATATATGAATGTATTTGAGTAAGAAGTAACAGAGCAGACCATATGTGAAGGTAAACAAACATTATGCATTTGCTTTGCAAATGTCATCTTTCAAGTTTTTTTCTGTATCTACATTTCCAGGTATAGAAATGAAA